CATGTCCTAAAATGCTTGCCGAAGAAGTTACAGCACTGGAAAGGTTTAGTAATAGTATATTTTGCAACTAGTGCGACAAGTTGTCGATTGGACATGAGAGCGAATGAGCGCACGCGCAAAGCGAGTGCGCTCAACTTCGCTCTCATGACCAATCGACAACTTCGCACGAGTTGCACATACTATTTTTTATTACGTTGCTTTTTAATATGTGTCTTTTGTTATATTTCAGCATGTAAATAAAAGAGACATACTAAAAAGCAACGTAATAAAATAAACAAAAAATAAAAAAATATTTAAAAATGTCAACCTCACTTCTTTAATGTTGACACTTCGAGACCAAAGATTATTTTCTTTTATCTATGTTCGAGACTGTCTTTTTGCTTGTCAATTTGCGTGTGTCAATGAAAATTTGGGTGCGAGAAGTTTACTTGTCGCACTCAAATCGACATTAAATTTGCTCAAAACTAATGTGGTAATTGTGAAGTGGGCGATTAGCGTCTTTTTGACTCCAAAAGAATGCGAAAAGATACAACTTTCCCCTCATGAGTAATAAAAAAATATATATTTTGGTTATTTTTAAGAACATTGGTAAACCGTTTTTGGTGAAATTTGCTACTCTTACACACATTTTAATGTCAAAGCGAATGGCAATTGTGAAAATTTTCGTAATAGCCCTGAATGGGTACTTTTCATTAAAGTATGGAGTACTACTAACTGGTGTGGTACTTGTTTTATCTTTATAGATAAAATAATTTCAACAAATGTTATAAAAAGCTAGGACATTTTTACGTAAAACAGATTCTCTTCGTTTAGTTCGAAAAGGTGAACTGGTTTCAAGATATTTGCGTTTAAAGATTACGATGCATTGACTTTCGTAATAGTAAAATGATAAAATGTAAAGAAATTATAAATAAATTAATCTCCTAATCTTGACAATGCTAAAATCGATGTATCGCAACCTTTAAACGCAAATATCTTGAAAACCATTCACCGTTTCGAACTAAACGAAGAGCACCTTTTTAATATAGAAGACCTAGCTTTAATTTTCATTTATTCAAATTACGGTATCTATAAGAATAAAAGAAGTACCACCAGTAGTACTGTCTACCCTAATGGAAAGTACGCTTTCATGTCTATTACGGAATTTTACACTATCGCCATTCGCTTTGGTATTAAAATGTGTGTAAAGATACGAAGTTTAAAGAAAAACGGTTTAACAATATTCTTAAGAATAAACAAAATATATTATTTTTATTTAACCTATCGAATGCTGTAACTTTTTCGGGAAACATTTTAAGTCATGTATTCATAGGTACTTTTTATTTTATTTTTATCTATAGAATCGGTACCCGGTGGCGTAGAGGTACAGGCTCTCGTCTACCAATTTCAAGGTAGTGGGTTCGATTCCCACATCAGCCGACTATTTTTATTAAAATAAAAATAGTTTGGGTACCTAGATCGACTCAGCCTTAAATGTGTACTTGGGATTCACAATCCTGAGGTATTAATAGGCGGTTGAAGCGTAGTGCTAGCCACATTACCTTCCTTGTATACCGAATGGCTCTAGTATGGTAAGCTGTACCTTGCTACTCCCAAGGCGTTAAACGCTATATACGGGAGCTATTATTATTATTATCTATAGAATCACCCACCGAAGTTAGATACACGATTTGTTGACACCCTGTATAAAATAATATTTATTATATACCGGGTGTCTCAAAAATTGCTCACCCCTATAACTTTTTTATTTTTTTAGTTAAAAAGCGAGATTTGGTATGTAAGTATATGACATAAATTAGGATTGATTGACGTATTCAATTGTTTTCGGTGACTTCCGGTTTCACCGGAACTGACTACAACTTTTGATTTTTAAATGACACCCCGGTATTTTTTTACTTTATTCGATAGAAAATGCCACTCTAACGAAAATTTGACTCGAAATACCAAGTGTGTGGTATCAAATTATTCGTAAAAAAATTCTTTTTTCAAATATGCTAATGAGCCACCCTCGTTCCATTTGAAAAAATTGAGATATGATTAAAAATACGATTTGAGGATTTCCTAGCTTGCCAGGACAAGATACTAAAAACATTATACGATAAAATCTATTTTTCCAAGACTCCTTGATGAAGAATTAGTGTTTTTAACATAGTCATGGCACTCTAGATTGAATTTTAAAATACAATTTTTGATTAAGCGAGAATGTTAAAAGTTGACATATGATATGTCATTCTATTCAGAATGTCTTGTTCTATCGAATAAAGTAAAAAAATACCGAGGGTGCCATTTAAAAATCAAAAGTTATAGTCACTTCCGGTGAAACAGGAAGTGACCAAAAACTAATGAATACACCAATCAATCCTAATTTATGTCATATACTAACATACCAAATCTCGTTTATTTATCTGAAAAAATAAAAAAGTTATAGGAGGTGAGCCACTTTTGAGATGCACCCGTTATATTAAAACAATACCTACTTTTATAAGAGGATTAAATAATATAAGGTTTTATAATAGACTTTTTGCTACAAATTATCAACACTATAAAATTTGTTGTAATTTCTTTTCGATTAAAATATGCTGTGACGAAAATCTCCAGCAGTATTTTAGGAACATTTCTGAATTATTTAGAACACGCACATGTTTAAATGTCTTTACCAAAATATGTCCCAAGTCTTTTGATGTTATTTAAATAGCAAGACCGCACGCTTTAATACAAATGGATTAGTGTTTCGGCAATAAAGAAGATTAATTTAGTCGATCTGATGTGAATTATAGATTTTTTTAGGAATCTCTGTTCTTGAATACTGCTAAATCTCAATTTCAGAATATTTTTAATTCTTGACATATTTTAATGTCCTCCTCGTACTTTTAGGCTTATCGGTTATGTTGATTAATGATGGCGTTTTAAATATGGCCAGCCAGAGTTTGTAACAGAACGTTAAAATCTCACTTTTAAGAACAGCCCAAAATACAATTCTACTAAGTCTATTTAAAGAACATTTATTTCTGTATTTAAAATGTCAACAAAGGAAGAAATGGAAGGAAGAAAATTATAATGCTGTATATTTACTTTAAACAGTTGTAATAATGTAACTTCCAGTATACAGGGTGATCCGAATTGTATTCGAAAAACTTCGGCAGCATATTCTGCAGATAAAAATAAGTAAAAAGTTTATATAAATTTACTTCCTAAAATGCTTCGGTTCGGAGATACAGGGTGTAGAAATTTTATTTTTATTTATGTTTCTTCAATTGTTTGAACTTTAGTCGATATTTGGATAAAAATTGATGTGTGGGGTGTTTTTTAAGATAAGAAATGTTTGAATGAAATGCGTTTTAACTGTTTTTAAGGGTAATAACTTTTCGTCCGTACCTGCAAAAAACTATTGAATGAAAAAATGTACATTTCGGTCATTTTTTACGTAAAAAATGTATCTTTATAAAAATCGCTACGAGCAACTGTTCTCAAGATATTTAGAATGGAAATAGTCAATACATGTCATAACTGACAAAAAATAAACATGTTGAGTAGATAGTTATTTGAAATGAAAAATTTGGGAACTTTTAATTTGTTTAAATTAATCAGAAATTTAGATATAAAAAAGGAGTAGAGCGAAAAGGGGATCTCTGCATCAGGTGGCGGCGGCGGTGGCTGGAGTGACGTCATAGGCTAACGACATGTAAAATAGGCTAATAAATAAGAGTAAACAGGTTTACACAAGAAACAACCGCTTTAAAACAGAAATAAACAGGTTTGAACAAAAAAATTAACAGGTCTGTTGTTTAAAGCTAAAAAGCGGTTCGAAGCAGTACAAAAGCGGCTCAAACCTGTTTATTCTTGTTTATTATCGTATTTTAACTGTGTTCTTACCTGATTTACGTCTCACGTATGACGTCATACCGCCACCGCAACCGCCACCACCTGATGCAAAAACCCCCTTCTCCCTCTACTAAAACGTTTATTTTTTAATTCTCCATCTAACAAAGAAATAATAACCGGGTGTTCTATAATGAAAATCGAGGAAAAATATTTTATATTTTAGATAGTAGAATTTTGAATATCCTGTATGGTTTAAGATTACGATATTTATAGCAAAGTAGTAGAGGTATTTCTGGTAAAATACTCGCACAATGTGGTCATAAACGTTAAGGCGACATAAAATCAGGGTTTAATCTTTTACCGGTAACGTGCGGTCTACGGGACCCCTTTAACTATAATTTAACTTACAACGTAACAACTCATAACAATTGCATTTTGAAAAATTAGGTACACCGCGGAGATACCACGATAAAGTTTCGTATACAGTGGACAACAGCATCTTGCGGAACTACAATGTGGTAGTGTAGCAAAAATATGTCGTCGAGATCTTCGATAACTCACGTTAGCGATTATACACCGGGAGTAAATATATTATTTCCGATGTTCTTCTCAACTTGGTAGATCAAAATGATGGCTTGTTGTGTGTTTTGCACAAAAGAGCTGAATGTCTCTAATGCTCAAAAAATATCTGCAATGACTTTGTATCGATTGTATCAATGAGTTTATATCGACCTATTGCCTAAGGTCTAATTTTTTTAGAACATATTTGTTACGATATGCTAGTGTTTATTTCAATGTTCTTCAGTATTTTTATTATCTATATATAATTTATGAGGAAATGCTCCTGATAAAGGATTTGTTTTCGTTTAGGCTGGTCAGTACATAAAGGCGCATTCTCACGACTGGTGTACTTGACAAACATTTGTTAAGGCGCACTCTCACGACTGGTCTACTTGGCAAGTACGCCAATATTTGCGTACTTGGCAAGTATTCCCACCAGTCCCCACTTGTAAACAACATCGGCAAAAAATCCTTGGCAAGTAAACTGTATACTATAGTCGCATCGATAGATACCGGTCGTCCCGAAATTGTCGTTGCTAGTGATTCTTTACTGTACACCATCATAAAATTATATTTTTAATCAATATTAATACTTTTTATTGTAATTTATTTTTCAGACCAGTACCATTACAAAAGACTCTATCATTTTTCGTCTGCATACTAAATTTACTGTCGTCGTACTCGTTACCCTCTCCATTGTGGTTACAACCCGTCAATATGTTGGAAACCCCATCGACTGCATTCACATAAGGTTAGTAAGCTATATTATACCTACTATTATATCAAATTCAATATTAGTATATGAAACATTTTTATTTCAAAGATCATCTACTTATAAACAATAGCACACTACTATTAATTATCTGTAATTTGTTGTTTATTATATTGAAATTTATTATACCTATTTATTATACAAAGGACTACAAAATATGCAGTGAGCATAGTGCATATGAAAAGAAAATAATGCTTTAATTTTTTTATTTGAAATGAGAGACATGGACCGAAAGTTTTGTTATTAGTTAGACCCAAGTAGCATCTATCTGACTTTGAACTAAATCTGACCTGAAGTGACGTCAGATTCTGTGCAAATTTAGGTCGGGTACTGGTGATACGACCGGTGACGTCGCTTTCGGTAAATCCAACGATCTGTCGACGTACAAAATAACAACGTACTGTTTTTATTAATTTTCCAACGTCGTTCCCACGTTGGCTTGCACGACGTACATATATTTAAAATAGCCCGACATCTACCTGTTGTCCGAATAGGATACGTCTCGCTGATAATCCCTAGAGTAACGTCCAATTATATTTTGTTGTATTTACGTATCTCTATTTACATCCGTACATACAACCAATTAAGTAGCATTTGCAACGTCATAAACATCATGAATATAACCCAATAAAAAGTTTTTGTAAACGAACTTATTTTTTTTATTATGCCTAAAAAACACTAAAAAGGCATTTAGACATTAATCTACATTTTACAGAAAGAGGTCGAGGCTTTTGCAAAATAATAATAGTAGTAGTGATGTCTTGCCTCCACTCACGAATGCAGAGGAGACGGTACACCAGCCAGAACAGGTAGGTATACAATACTTATGTTTGTGGTATTAAGAAAGTATTCTCCTCGTTCAGGTAGTGGTAAAAACTTAATGGGGTAATAATCCGGAAGAGATGCTGCATTACACTGGTGGCATCTTAATTTCTTTTTTTAGCTTAGGAAACCAGTAGACCCCATCCTCCTCCCACATGTGAGGTACTGGTTCCAATTCTTTTAAATTTTGTATATATACTATCTTAAAAATGTGGCTGCCCATTTTTTTAAGGAGAAAACAAAAACTAAAATATAATTGCACAAATCCACAAATCACTGACACGCAAAGTGAGGTTACGCCTACGAAACCGTTGAACCGTCAACCGCCAAACATTTTTTGACAACAAACAATTGAGCTATCATAGACCAATAACAGTCGGGAATCGTTTACCAGGAATTCGAAAAATTATATGCTCTGTGGCCGACGACGGATGCTCCTACGTATGCCGGACGATCGCAAATTTTACGTGGCGTACGTTGGAATTATATACGTCATAATACGATTGCCAGTCGTCCGGTTTGATGACTTCGGTCGTGTGAGACGACTAATGTTGGAGACCCGGTCGGAATTGATATATTGTTAGTTCATATTAAGCCGGACACAGAAATCCGCCATTCAAGTATCCGATTGTCAGCGATTTTAAAATCGTTTCTTGTTTTTAAAATTTATATTCACATTCCGATTTCTAGTAGAATAATATTGATAAGGTTGAATTTGGGGAGTACCACAATACAGTTTTATGATTAAACCAGCTAGAAAATAGAAAAAAATATATTTTCCAAGTTACTTTTTTATAGATATTTTTATTTCATAAATCTACATAATTTTGAAGGCGCTCGTTGTTTTCCGGAGTGTTTTAATCAGATATATCAAAAAAATGACTTCCGTTGACAAAACTGATGTCTGGATTAATGATTCAGAATTATTATAATGTGAAATTAGATAGGCACTTATAGTTATATTCGAGGAGTGAATATGAAACCATTTGTAATTAGATAGTTTGGTTAGGTTTTTATGTATTCTTGGTAGCGAATATGAAACCAAACGTAACGTAAGTGCTTAGCGACGAATTTTAAGTGACTAAAATCCAACGTAATATGACGTTGGTAATTGGTAGAATTACATTCCCTATTAGATCAGATACTGACGTCGAGGCGACCCGAATCTGTATTCCCCATTTAGGTGCAAATAAGGGTCGTCAGGCGGTCGAACCCACGCGCGACGGCGACGTTGGTACCCGACGTCGGGTTTATTGAACGCGACGTATACCCGACGTTTGATAACGTCCAAATGCTACTTGGGCACTTTGGGCAGGTTGATGTAGATTAGTATTTCTGATTATAGCAAAGTGTGTTACAATGATATATATAGAAAACAGAAGAAAAAATTACAAACTCATCACAAGATACAATTATCTTCTTTATGGCAAAATACTATTGAGATATCAACCCGGGAACTACTGCCATTAACATAGCAAAAAGTTTATCTATTAGAAACCTAAATTTAATATACAGGGTCAGGTAATAGTGGGTCAAGCATCTGTAGCTCCAAGAATAAAAAACTTGGGAATTTTGTTTAAGTGCAAACCTAAATTATGTACGAGGATGTATTTAAGGAAAATATTTTAACTTCTATAGGGCGGCTCAAAAAAGTGTGAGTGAATCGGGATTATTTTTTTCGGGGGGCAAACCGCTGCCAAAAATGGTGTACAATAAATACCAATTTTGGGAAAAAAAGTACCAAAAATACCAAATTATTTCCAAAAAAATACCAAATTAGAACCAAAAATACCAAATTAGTATTATCTCTTTTTAGTATCTAAAAAATTTAAGATATTTGAAGCTTTGGGACCTATTCATGTCAAACTACGATAACTAGGTCAGAAAAACATATAAGCTTAATTCGAGTTTCAAAAAAGTACGGTTCTAGAACGATTTAAAACAATCGCACAGTTTAATTACGACAATCATTCATTTCAAAAGTTGCAAAAAATCATATTGTGCTAGTGTTTTGAACCGTTTTAAACCGTACTTTTTGGGAACTCGAATAAAGCTACTGTCATGACACATTTAAAAAGTCATTTTAACGGTTCCATTAACATCGATACTTCAAAAAATATAATTATATGCACAAGAAAAATAAGAAATTCTAACGAGATCCATATTATGTTTCCATGATGCGAGTTCCTTAATATCTTGACATTTTTTCGTATGACGCTATGTACCGTTTTTGCGTAAAAACCATTTTTAATGGTTTTGAATAGTAAATTATTAGAGACTGTATTTAAAATAAGTAATTATTCTTAAGTATGTATATTACGAGGTATATTACGAGGTATACCGCAGACGGACGGCTACTGTCAAAATTTCAGCCGAATCAGACTCGTAGTTTTGTTTTGACCACGTGTGGAAACGGTGGTGTGCGTCGATTTTAGAGAAATGGAGAAAGAACAATATCGATCGGTGAATCGATTCTTGTTTCTTGAAGAGAAATCGCATTTTTAATCATAACTCAGGTTTTTCAAATTGAACGATGGTCGCGTATTAGCATATTTAGATAGAACATTTTCTTACGAATAATTTGGTACCACACACTTGGTATTTTGAGTCAAATTCTCAAGAAGAAACAAAACAATTTCAAGCGAAAAAGTCAACAGTTGACATGAGATGTCATTCTGTTCATAATGTCATTGTCTTTCGAATAATGTAAAATAACAGAGATGAGCATCAAATCGCAAACTGCGATTCAATCGTCATTCGTTTTAAAATCGCAATCACAACCTGCGAGTGGCTCTCAAAGGAAACTGCGACTGCGATTTCTTCTATTTGCGAGTTTCTATTTAGGCAAGCAATATTGCTATAGTTGCTAGTTGCGATTTTACTGCGATTGTGATTTTGTAAACTAGGACCGTGATAACTTTCTAACTGCGATTTTGAATTTTTAGGAGTTGCGATTTTGTTGCGAATGAAATTGTGTGGTACATTGAAGGCATTTTATAGTAAACTGCGATTGTATTTTTTCTCTGATTTAATTTATTTATAGAGAGGGTATTATTTTTTAGACACAAAATCAATATTATTTTTTAGACACAAGATCAATAATATACCGGGTGTTTCTCAAGAGCGTTCGCCTCTGTAACTTTTTTATTTTTCTGATAAAAAACGAGATTTGGTATGTTAGCATAATATGTCATAAATTAAAAGTGATTGACATATTCAATTCGTTTCAATCACTTCCTGTTTCACCGGAAATAATTACAACTTTAGATTTTTAAATGGCACCCTAGGTATTTTTTTACTTTATTCGATAGAAAAATGACACTCTGAATAGAATGGCATGTCATATGTCAACTTTTGGCATTTACGCTTAAAAAGTCGTATTTTAAATTTCAATCTAGAGTGCTATGGCTGTGTTAAAAACACTAATTTTTAATATAGGATCCTTGGAAAAAGATTTAATCGTATATTGTTTTTTATGTGTTGTTCTGGCCGATTAAAAGATGGCCAAATCGTTTTTTTAATCATATCTTAATTATTTCAAATGGAAGCTCATTAGCATGTTTAGAAAAAACAATTCTTTACGAATAATTTGGTACCACACATTTGATATTTCGAGTCAAATTGTCAGATGTTCAAAAATAATTTAACAACTGATTTTTTTTAACTTTTTTTAACTGTTAAGCTGTAGGTACGTAAACAAACAATTATATCCCTAGTGCAATATTTAAATATTAAAATCGCAATCGCAGGTTAGAGTCCTAGCGATTTAAAGATCGCAATCGCAGTTTTGCTCATTTCTATAAAATAATACCGAGAGTACTTATTAAAATTCAAAGGTTGTTATCACTTTCAGTGAAACAGGAAGCGACCGAAAATAATTGAAAACGTCAATTATTCCTGATTCATGTCATATAACGACATATCACATAAAAATCAAATTTTTATTTGTATTAAAATAACAATAAAGGTCTAGTCACTTTTGGAAAAACACCCGGTATACTAAAGAAAATCTTCTTCTTCCTACTCTATATTAGCCAGATTACCTTTTAATTCTTCACAACATGCCTATAGTTTTAATCGATAGTAAGGTTATTACTCTATTGATTAGTATTAATTGGTGAACTATTGCGAACTAAAATAATGGTTTTGTTAAAGCC